TTATTCAAGTTATTTTCAATCACAGTCAAAAAAGAATTAGTAAAATTACCAAGTGATTAGATTTTATACTTTGAAAAGTATTATTATTGCAAAAATATTACAGAGTTAAGGAATCAGCTGTATGTTTGCACGAATACTTTTCAGTCGCCATGTAAACCACTTAAGTTAGACACTTGTGAGTCTGAAAGTCTAGTAAACCACACGCGAATCCTAGAATTAAGTAAGAACAATTATGTAATCGATACTAATGTTTTAACAAAAATCAAGGATTGCAAAGGAATCCATCATATTCATTTTACTACTCACATAATTTCAGAATGTCATACATTTATTAATGATCAAATATTAGAATTTGACTCTAATTATGAAATTGAATTAGAATTATCCTTCAGAGGTGACAACGATAAATATTCATTTAAGAAAACAAACACTTCACTCGAATCTTATTTCGAAAACATTCTCACTTCACTCCAAGTTCATTTTGAAGATTTAACAGTTTCATTCTACTATAAGTTATCCTGTTATTTTTACTACTGTAATTATTTTATTGGTTTTATTTATAACAATTTTTGTTAGATACCGTTATGTAAAGGATACTAAAACTCCACCTCAAAGTAGTGATATTTAAGAAACTTCTGCTTCAAATTAAAAGTTCAAATCATTTTTTGAGATTGGAGACCAATCGTTCCGAGGAGGGAGGAGTTATGGAATCCTGATGATTACCATTTCAACGGTACGGCTAACACCGTCCCGATGATTAGCGCCGACCATCCGGTTTCTAGTTACAGCGTTAGGTGTTATCTTTGTGAGAACATTCCTGACTTTGCATTTTGCTATATTTTACTTCTTATAAACTGAAAATGAAATGTTTCTAGCGTTGTTGTCATCCAATAAAGTTTCTGTTATAGTTTCGAACCGAAACCACACTGAGTTTCATTTCTACACTACATTGCTGGTGCTGGTTGATTTAACGATCAAACGAACTTACCTGAAGTTCGATCGTAATTATATCGATCGTCCATTCCGAAGATGTATTTAACTAAGGTAGTACGCTCATGCGTACTGCGCGCCACACATTTTTAAGATGAATAGTAGCGCGAGCGCGGATATGTTCTTCCCGCTCGCCGCCGTCCGCTGTAACTGCCTCCCCGTTTCATTCCTTCAAAGATTGTTTTTCAATGCATATGAGCAGGGTGAAAAGCCACTGCATTTCAGGGAGGGGGGGTTTCTACATCTTCGGAATGGACGATCGATATAATTACGATCGAACTTCAGGTAAGTTCGTTTGATCGTTAAATTATATCTCACGTCCATTCCGAAGATGTATTTAACTAAGGTAGATGTTCAAAGATACAAACCACAAACATATGCATTGATGTTTTATATACGAAATAAGTTGAACAAAACTGCTATCATAGCAAAAGTAAAATAAGGTGAAAATATTCTAATTTATACTCGTGAGAGTATCGTGTTTGCAAAGTCATCATCCGCTTGTAGTGGTCGGTCGTAGAACCTTGCAAAGGTTGCGTCTTCTGAGACCAGCCTGCAGTTTTACAAATAGTGTCTACCGACAGCCCTGCCCTACGGACTGCTGACGTTGCTGCGTGCCTAGTTGAATGAGGTTTAAATACAGTCGTATTTACTCCCGATGACATAAGTGTCTGTTTTACCCAACGGGCAAGGGTTTGCTTTGTTGCTTTTTTATGGGGTTTACATAAGTTAAAATAAGAATCTTCATTATTTCGGATTTCTTTCGTTGACTCTAAGTACTGCAGCACTGTTGAGGCTGGGCATATGTTGGGATTTGGTGTGAAGAACGGGAGACTCAGAAAAGGCTGATCATTGAGGCTAAGTGACGTCTTTACTGGGTCCGTAATCATTATTTGTAATCTGGTTTCGTCTCTGTGAATGTTTGATACCCGGATTAAAGAGATCGTTTGAAGGCGGCCACCTGTTACCAGTGAAAGTAGGGTCACCAGTTTGTGGGTGAGGCTTTTAAGTTGGTTGTTAGGGAGATTTCCTAATGCTGTAAGAACTGGTTGAGGATCCCACGTGAACCTATACCTGGGGTTCATTGGTCGTCTTCTGGCTACCCCCTTTCATGAACCGTTTTATCAGGGGGTGTGAACCTAGGCTATCGGAGGATATAAGGGAGATCGCAGATCTGTGGCTGTTTTAAACTTCCATAATTTAGTTCAGTTGTATTGATAATGTTCTGAAGGAATTCTATTACCTGCAGGACGTTTGCCTGAAATACTGGTATCTGCTTCTCTTCACAGTACTTATACCATAGACGGTAAGTACACGCATACTGGCTGATCGTAGCTGTCGATATTGAATCGATTATGGTCTCTACCGCCTCATCCGATATTCCTCTCAGTTGAAACCCCTGCCGGATAATTTCGCGGCCACTAATGTTAATCTGTTGGCCAGAGGGTGGGTTGAACTGAAAGGAGAAGTCAGAAGGTTATCGTCAGGTCCAAAAGTAACAGATCTTCCAACTTGTAGTTTCTCTACAAGCGGATACCATGCCTGGGCACGCCAGTCTGGTACTACTACAGTTCCCTCAGCTTTATCCTGGATAATTTTTTGTAACACCTTCAATATTAAGCAAAATGGGGGGAATGCATAAAAATAAATATCGGTCCAGCTAATAGTAAATGCATCAACTGCGACCGAATCCGGATCTTTCCTCCATGATACATATCGTCGACATTTGTGATTTATTTTTGAGGCAAAAAGGTCAACGTCAGGAGATCCGAATTCGTGTTTTAAAACATCGAATGCTGAATCTGCCAGAGACCATTCTGTTTCGGTTGAGACTACTCTGGACTCTCTGTCTGCGTCCAGATTGTCCTTTGTGTTGACGTATGAAGCGAATAACCCAAATATTTCTGGCTTGACACCATTCCCAGATGTCTCGCGTTCTGTTGTTGAGCTTGGTAGATTGTATACTGCCCAAACGGTTGATGCAAGATATTGCCGTCGTGTTATCTGATCTAATCAGAATACTGCAGTTCCTTGCATCCCGGGCGAAACATTTTAAGCCATAAAGAATAGCTGTAAGTTCTAAGTAATTTATATGATTATCTTTTTCTGGATTGGACCAAAACCCATGGGTTTTGTCGTGTCCTCTACATGCACCCCACCCAGTCAGTGAGGCATCTGTGAATATTGTCATACTATAGCCTGTCTGTTTAATATCGGCTTCCGCATTTAAGATGTTTCGCTCCCACCAGATTAGGTCATTATCTATAAAGTTATGTGGTAAGACTACTATACAATTATAGTTGTAGTTGTTCGCTTCTAGAGCTGAGCACTTTAGTTGTTCCAAACGCTTGGTGTACAACCAGCCGTACTTAACCGCAGGGCAGGCTGCGGTTAAGGTGCCTATGAACTGTTGCAAGTTCTCTTATACTGCATGTATCCCTTTTTCGGAAAGACGTTGACATGTTTTTAATGGACGTTTTCTTTTCCGACGGTAGGGATATTTTCATATTTTTGGTGTCGTATTGAAATCCTAAAAATATTTTTCTCTGTTCTGGGGTCAACGAACTTTTTTCAGAGTTTATGATGAAACCTATGGACTGTAATGTGTTTACCACAATTTTTGTGTGTTCCCTACATTTTTCAGACGAGTCACTGATGACTAGGAAATCGTCTAAATAGTTGACCAACAGAATCCCTTGAGTACGCAGGTTTTCCAGGACGGGTCGCATTATTTTTGTGAAACAGTACGGTGCTGACGAGAGACCAAATGGTAAGCAATTGAATTCAAATGTATTAGAATTAAACCTGAACCTCAAATACTTCCTAAATGATTTGTCTATTGATATTAGGAAGTATGCGTCTTTTAGATCGATGGTTGCCATCCAGTATTGCTTTTGCAATAGTTTTAGTACTGTCCGAAAATCTTCCATTTTGAAATGCTCGTATTTCACGAATTCATTAAATTTTTTCAAATTTAAAATGAACCGTTTCTTTCCGTTGGATTTTTCAGTTAGGAAGTAAGTTGAAACGTACTGGTCTTTCCTCTCCGTACATGATGATACTGCTCCGATATCTAGTAGCTCCCTGATTGCCAAGGCAATCAAAGGGTCGCACTGAGTGTGGGCAGTTTGATTCTGTTTCTGAACAGGTGTTGCTAAGAGAGGGATCTTATATCCCTTAATCCAGGATAGAACTGTGGAATTGTTCGTTATACATTTCCAAGACTCGACAAAATGGGATAGTCTGCCCGCTAGCTTAGAATGACTTGCCTTTATTGGTATCTGCTCCCTGGGGGGCGACTTTGCTTGGAGGTTTGCCCTTTCCTCGGCCCCGAGTCCCTCCCTGACTGGCGAGGCGGGCGTTGCCTGTTTAAAGACGGGCGGTAGCTAGTCGCTTTATATGGAGTACGAGCATTGTATGCAGTTTTGGAGGTACCATGCTGGCGCTGAGAGGTGTGCCCCCCCCCTCTTCTGATGCCGGATGGCTCTGCCTTGTTGCTATAACCGTCTTGTCTTAAGTCGTTCCCAGCTTTTTCTGCAATTTTTGCCATTTTAATCTTTTCTGCCAAATCGGTGCCGTATAGATATTCCCCCGGAATAGTCTCTTTGATGGTATCTTTCACCGATTTGGAGAGAAGTTGTGAAATATATTCCCTACGGGTCGTCGAGATCTCATGGAATAGCTGGGTCATGAATGTGCCCACATCTGCTAGATGTGGTAGCAAGTGCATTTTTAGATCAGAATCAACATTATTCTTGATTTCATTGATGACATAATTCATGCATTTGCCAAGCGCACTTGTACTTTTTCCCACCAATAGCTGATATCTTGCATGGCATTGGTCCCTCTTAACATATGCTTGAGAAAGAATGTGAGCAACTTCCGGGTTGACTTTTGGAGGATCAAGAGTAGGAAAATTATTGGGAGGCCTATGGCGATCCAAAATTTGATCCATATTTTCCTTTCCTATGCCTTGGGCTATTGTTTGTGACCAAACTTGTCTTATAGCATCATTGAGATGATAGGACTGTTTTGTTTTCTGTGTCAGTGTCAATGCCTAATACCTCTTTAATGCACTCTGGAAGTTGCTCCGCCTCATTCTCAGTGTTTTCAGCTTGTAAATTTATGTCGTCTTGGAGTACGAGTGTATCTAGGTCATCCAGTTCCGGATGGTCTTGGTTTATAGCCGGACAGTTCGATGCCGGGCTTCTACCACTGGTGACACTCGCCGAGTCGTACGAGGCTCGGCTCATGCTACGTCGGTCTATTTTTTCTTTTGAAAATCGTGAAGAAGTCGGGCTGTTCAAAACCCGACGCTCTCTCGATGTATTTCTAGGATTTTGGTATCGATTGGAAGTTGGGCTGTGCGAAACCCGACGTTCTCTCGATGAATTCCTAGAGTATTGATATTCGGAAGTCGGTTTGTCCAAAGTTCGACGTTTCCGAGTCGTATAATTGTGGTTACGATCCTCCGAATCTGGCACCCCCCTTCTTTTTATCGAAGTACGGTCCTGTACTAAGGATCGACTGCGCGAACTAGAGCGGGGCCTCCTCGGAGAAATGCTTCGACTGTGCCGACGTGAATGGGACCTACGATCTCGCTCCTGCCTGTTTAGTCTATCGCGAAGCTCATTAATTGTTTTTTGTAAGTCTCTACGCGATAGTTTGTCGCTGGATCGGCTTCTCTTGCGTTTCCCCATGCTGTAAAACAAGCCCTGTGGAGAAATAGTTGCTCACCAGAACGATTTTAACGTGATTAGTATATAATAGTTCACTTTCTCGAATTAACATTAAATGCACAGCAAATAAACTAGGAAGCCTTGTTCGTGAAATTGAGAAAATGCAAAAGAAAAATCTGGGACTGTGCCAATAAAAATATCATTATTTCGTATTATCCTGATGTAACAGAACATTCTATGAATGTCGTGAATAGCAAAATAATACTATCATACCTGTACTATTGGTTTTTCGTCTGTTGCGGAGCCGGGCACTGAAACTACACGTGTGGACGCGACGCACACATAAAAGCGAATGAAACGGGGAGGCAGTTACAGCGGACGGCGGCGAGCGGGAAGAACATATCCGCGCTCGCGCTACTATTCATCTTAAAAATGTGTGGCGCGCAGTACGCATGAGCGTACTACCTTAGTTAAATACATCTTCGGAATGGACGTGAGATATAATTCAATAATCAGTTGCCAGTAGATGGCTTGTGGATTGATGCAGTGCTGATACTACGGTATCGGCAAGAAGGGTCAAAGGTCTCCCCACCACTACCTACCATTTCTACAGGATCAACATTCGTATGTTAATCGTCAAATCAGTATCCACACAGGATAACGCAGTATGGCGGTTTTGGTCTTGGTTTGATTTTACGAATCAATTATTATTTTCATGTACAGCGCACGTTAAGCCTTTCGCAGTTGAGTACCTGAATAAACCTACATGATGTCGGCTTCGAGCAAAAATTCACGAGCACCGACATGTATTACACACACGTTACTGCCAAAAAGGCCAAAAATCGACTGGCTCGCTACCGGTGTTGTCGACGTCATACTTCAGGCCATGAACAATGAATAGCCTCCCCGTTCTGTAAAGCACAAACAGTGCCTCAAAAGTGATTGTTATTATATGAAGCGAAAAATGAAAAATGGACGTTAAGGCACGAAGAGCAAAAAACGTGGCCTTTTTATGTGTGTTGGCTGAAGGTGGCTGTCATGACTCTGGCGGATAGATGCAAAAATTGTAAAATTGCTGAGGCTGCTTTCGTTTTTGTTGAAGGAGTGAGTAGGTATTTTAGGCAGCTTTGATTAATTAAATAGAAAACGCCTTCAAGTGGGAAGGCTTCTTGCTTTAGGGATGAACTGCGGCTGAGGAACTAATCACAATAATTTGCTGTGTTATACACAACCCTGTAGTCTGGTACCAAAATGGAAGAGAACAGCAAAACGCATCGGACGCAACTTTTATCGTGGCGTATCTACAAGCAAAAACAAAATAATTAGAATCCTGATCGTTTTCAGAAACATTTTTGTAAGGTTCAAATATGAGTTGAGTCTGGTTGATGTTTGGCACTGCCAGACGCTTAATACTCTCTGTAGGGCAGGGTCGAAGTTACTAGATCGCCATCGTCGAATGGATGGATACCATGGATTAAGTTTGACTTGCTTAATCCGTTTCATTTCATTTATTATAGAGGTGCAAATAAAGTCCCTCTTCTCAGAGGGGTTAACATCTACCGAACTTAATCCTCTACGAATTGATAACAGCGTTGCGTGGGAAGGGCCGAGTTAACCTACTTGATTCCATTTTGTTCATAAAAACAGACATTTGCGCGGTATTCCAGACTCCTGCTGATTATTCTAACTTGACCAAAACTAAGTTAACCGGTTCCATTTGACTTAAATGTTAACAATATCCTTGGTACACCTTCTCCAGTCTAACTAATTTCGCCCTAGTATATTGTTGCTACGTTTGGCCAAAATCAACTTGATTATTATGCCCGGTTGCTTTTTTATATCGATGGTAAAATATCCATACAAACAATGTTGAATGTATTGTATTTCTATTATTCAATTAACATTTAAATCTGATATCAGAATTTTACTAGAATAACATATCCCCTGTGACAATGCATTTCAGCAGACACACTAGATTTTAAAAATTTATATTTAATTTAGTAGCGTGCTATCAAAAATATATATCACTACCATTTTAGATCCCGGCAGACACCTGTTATATTTTTTTGTAATGTCGTCAGTCAAATTATTTATATTAACGGGTGATTTTTTAATAGGTAAGTATAGGATTTGATTTTCAAAAAAACACAAAAAAATTGATAAAACGATTAAATCTTTATTTGAGCGGTCGATATAATTTAATGTTTTAAGATTATTTCATGTAAATATTGGCCGCGGCTCCGCTTTAGATGGCCCATGCGCAATTTTGGCACACTCTGTCCAACATATCGGCCGGTATCTCACGAATAAATGCTTCAATATTGGCTTCCAGTGCGTCAATCGTAGCTGGTTTATCCCTGTAGATATTAGCCTTAATATGGCCCCACAAGAAATAGTCCAACGGCGTTAAATCACACGATCTAGGCGGCCAATTGACGGGCCCCAAACGTGATATAAACTGTTCACTGAACTCGCCTCTCAATAGGGCCATTGTTTCGTGTGCGGTGTGGCATGTGGCACCGTCTTGTTGAAACCACATGTCAGCCAAGTCCAGCTCTTCCATTTTGGGCGAAAAAAAATTTGTTATCATCGCACGGTAGCGCTCGCCATTCACAGTTACGTTCCGGCCATTGTCGTCTTTGAAGAAGTACGGCCCGACGACGCCACCGGCCCATAATCCACCCCAAACAGTGATTTTTTCGGGATGCATTGATAGCTCTTGCAATGCTTCTGGCTGGTCTTCACTCCAGATGCGGCAATTTTGCTTGTTAACGTACCCATTCAACCAGAAATGAGCTTCGTCGCTGAACACAATTTTTCGATAAAAATGTGGATCTTCCTCCAACATTGCCAGCGCCCATTCACCAAATTGGAAATGTTGTGGGAGGTCGTGTGGCTTCAATTCTTGCACCAGCTGTATCTTATAAGGTTTTGCACCCAACTCCTGTCGCAAAAATTTACACGTAGTGGAGTAACAGAGGCCCAATTGCTGCGAACGCCGGCGAATCGACATTTCACGGTCATCACTAACACTGGCGGATACAGCCGCAATATTTTCTTCACTCCTCACTCTACGTCTGCGTGTTGATGGTTTAATGTGTAACAATGTAAACTGGGTTCGAAAATTAGTCACAAGCTTCCGAATAGCTCCCTTAGTAGGCCGACCAAATTGCCCATAAATTGGAAGCAGTGCTCGATGCACTCTCTTAACCGAGCATGAATTTTGATAGTAAAATTCAATAATTTGCAAGCGTTGTTCGTTCGTAAGTCGATTCATGGTTGAATTATAGACCAAACTGAACAAGTCTGACAATGACACAAGACACGATTCACGCGTCATCTGTCAAAAACAGTGTTGCCAAAAAGATACTAGCAAAAAAATCACCCATTATTATATTATTTCTTCTTGAGAAAAACCATGTTTCGTTTTCGTCGGTCTATCTGTCGGTCTCTCCACTAATTGTTCTCCTTTCTATGATTCACAAAGTATCACTTGAAGGAAAGAAGAAGCTTTGTTTGGGGAAGCGATCTACTGGTAGCAGAGTTATGGTTTGAAAACAGGAAAAAAACAACATCATCCAAACTTGCTCTTTCGGCGTATCCAAGGTTCTTGTATTGTTACCAAAATCTTCTTGAAGAACGAAATATTTCTCATTTTTTTGGCACTTCAGCAATTCAATGCATCCATTAGTCAAATTGCATACGCATCGAAAGTAGAAGACCATCCTTTCAAAAGCTGGTCTCTGCTCTGACGAGTCTGACTGAAATGTGACAGCAACTTTGGCGAGTGATTAGTAAGACATTGAAAAAACTTCTAGATCGCGACGTTGTCAAATAATTGGGGACCAGTGGCTTATTATATAGGCATATTTGACTGACTCGATTCATTCAATCTCTTCCTTATACATGTTCATAGTTGATTTTTCTTCCGAGAGGGTCTAACTTGTGCCAACCATTTGTTTTAACTGATGTCCGCACCGCGTGAGTTAACGCCGTTTTTTTAAATTCGTTTCTCGATTGATCAGTCCAGCCAAGACTTAACGTTAGTGGACCTCAATTGCGGATTCCGGTCTTGGGATCTTACAAGATCGCTGGAACAAATAAGTTTCAAAGACCACCAAGTCACCAGCCTTCTTGCCTTCTCTCAAATAGAGCGCTTCTGTACTCTGCATACCCGCATGAAAATGCTGCCATCCGCGAAATTGTGGTTCAGATATATGTTATCGGAAGGGGAGTTTTTGTCTTGAATAGATTATCAAACCCGATGCATTATGACGCATCTTTGAGCTGGAACCTCCACAATATTTGTATATCAGAAGTGGAATCATTACAAAAACTTCTTGTTCGAAAATACATATAAATTGGATGATGAAATGCGAGCAAACTAGATGGCGAAAAGCAAATTGAATCTGTACTTTCCATGAAATTCTTGACAAATGAACTTTTAATATGTATGTACGAGGGTGATCCCAGAAGTACCCAGCCTGACCTAGAGATGGCGATAGTTGTTTGAAAAATATCATTGTATTAGAAAGCATGCAACCTATAAAGCATAATTATGTGTCAAGTTTGAA